CTTTCTGACCTCAGCACGGTGGCTCATACTTTGATAATGAAAACATCATTTACTTAAAAACTCCTCTCCCAAAGTCACAGAGGGATGCTTGATGTCAGCTTAACCCCTCAGGACAGGACAGGGCTCCTATTGAGGGTAAATGGTCATCACATGGACTCACTGTTCCTTAGTCTGAGGCTGCCTTCAGCTTCTCAAGCCCAGGGTCCTTGTGACATCAGCCCAGGATGGAGCCCTACAGAAACTGTAGCTGGGATGTGCAGAGGGCTGTAMAGAGGACTGTACCCTTCAGTGGTACAGGGTCCCGGCTGCTCCTCACTGGGCTTTCCTCTCTACCTGGAATCCCTGCCTGGCTTTGTGGCCACCTCCCTGAGGATATGAGATCCAGCTCACACTGGAGTTCAGCCATCTAGGAGGCCATGAGGGATGGGAAAGGCCTTGAGCCACAGGCAAGGAGAGCAGAGACAGGGTGTGGCCTAGGACACTCTGATGGACAGTCCATGTGATCCTCCTGAGCAAGTTCTTCTCACAGAGGACACTGACCTGCTGCAGACAGGGGAAGCACAGGGACAAAAGGGCTTCCTTGTTCACTAGGTCAGATGAAGCCCAGAAACACAGGAGGACTCTGGACAGGAGCTCAGGACAACACTCAGGTCTGGTCTCTAGGCCACCTCAGCTTCTGCAGTGGGAGGACCATATGGTCTATGGGCCAGCACTGCCCTGCCAACCCTGCTGATTTGCATGTTTCCTCTCAGAGAYCACAGAACTGTGAGCCAATTTAAGGGATCCCTGGGGGAAGAGGAGTGTTCAGTTCAGACAACACCATGGACCTTCAGGCTCAAATTGTCAGCTTTCTGCTGCTCAGWGTCACAGGTAGGAAAGAGAAAGTTCATGACCAGAGTCCACTTCCCACATGAGTCAGTTGGAGTCTACATCAGGGTTTTGGTCTTAGTTGCTTCTGCACCTTTTCTGGTATGAAGATATCCATGAATCTCTATTTTTACTAATTTCTCTCTCTTTTCATCTTTCCCATATGAGCATAGTGTCCAGTGGAGAAATTGTGCTCACGCAGTCTCCAGGGTCACTGGCTGCTTCCCAAGGGGAGAGGGTCACCAAGACCTGCACAGCCAGCTCCAGTGTAAGCACCAGCTACTTGCACTGGTACCAACAGAAGCTGGGGTCCTCTCCACAGCTACTGATCTATAGAACATCCACCCTAGCCTCTGGAGTCCCGGTGCGCTTCAGTGGCAGTGGGTCTGGGACCTCCTACTTGCTCACGATCAGCAGTGTGGAGGCTGAAGATGTCACTACCTTCTACCTTCAGTGGGACAGCTCTCCACCCACATGGTGCTACAGACTGCAACARAAACCCCTTGAGCTCCTTGGGCCAGCTGCTTCCCCCTCAGAGCCTGGCAAGGTCTAGGGCGGTGTCTGTAACAGAACCTCCATCCTTCTCTGCAGTGATGCTGTGGTGAATTTTTCTCAAGGATATTTGTTTTCTGGACAACAGAAAAGGGCAGATGTGCAGCTGGGATGAAGTCCCCAGAGGGCCCGGCTTTTATGACAAGCATAGAGTTTGCTAATGATGACACAGAGCTCCTGAGTGGAGCATTGATCCTGAGGAGGAATTTCCTGGACTTCTGAACCACTGTGCAGGAACCTGGAGAAACATTCCTTCCAGAGTGGTTTCCTGTCAGTGAGGAGGAACTATGGAGAGACAACCTACTGCTCCAGGACTAAGTCACTCAGCACAAAGCAGCTGTGCTCCCAGGGTGAAGGACTGTGGGGTGAGGCCATTATAGCCTCTTCTTTTGGGAAATGTTGAATTTACACTTTGCATGTTTCTGAAGAATGTGTTTCACTGTGGAAGTGGCTAGGACAGCCATCCAAGCAGGAGAAAGTGACAGAGCTCCCAAGTTATGACAGAATGGGTGTCCTCATCCTTTTTCTGTGATTACTAAC